TTCTGCAAAGGCACTCAAATACCTGAGTGTCATCTGCGTAACAATGAAAAGATACTCCATGCTTATGAAATATAGAACCTAAGGGTAAGATATATAATGAAAACAAGACTGGGCCGAGAATGGATCCTTGTGGAACTCCACTAGACAATGGGGACGTTTTAGAGTAATGTTGACCAAAATGGACTGAAAATCTCCTATTAAAAAGAAAAGAGTGTGTATTGTTTGGAGACACGAAATGGTTCTAAGGTGACACGTTAGGAACTATTTTACTTGACAAAGCAAATAGAGATAAATATTTTCTCAGCTAAAATTTTTTGTTTTGTCTTTGCAAACATGTTCTCAATTCTCAATCAATTAGTAATGGAGCAAATGTAGTTTTGAGTAGAAAATATTTATGACCTTAAGGACAAGGAGGAGGTTTTCATTCCCAATTATCTCTCCTCTGACATATCTATCCTCCCTTCTCTCCATTCCAGAAAGCAATCCAGTGCCCACTCATTCTGAAACAGCCTCTACCATTGTGTATTTCACATTACTGAGCTTTTAAAATCTCTCAGCATTACATAATTAGAGTTACTGACAGAGGAGAGGTTCTCTGATTCCACACACTCTCTCCTTTACTGTTCGTCTTTACATCTATGTCAAGACTACATACATCACTCACAAACTTCAGCTGGGGATGTGCATGCTTTTCTGTCCTCAGTGAAACACATGATTCAGTGGACACAGAAATAACTGGCCTTAGCCCTCTCCTCTTAACCCTGTCCTCAGAGAATGTACTCTGGAATCTTCACTACAGTCTTGACATATTCAGGCTTTATTTTTAACCTCAAACCAGCCAGCCAATGCTTTTCTCATTAGAATTCTCTCATTAGATTTTCACATCTCTCTGTAGAGACGTAACATTACACAGGGATTTGAGTATCCTATTTAATATTAATGCTTTATGTGGGTTTGGTATAGCTGAAGAAAAATTAGTCCACCAAATATTTAAAAATAAAGAAATGTTTGAGTTCATATAAAATATTTTGCCACTTTTATTTGAAGTTACAGAAGAGAAAAGCCTTGAACTTTTGTCCAAATGGTTTCCGCAAAAATATTAAGCAGCACAACATTTTCAGCATTAATAATAATAACAAATGTTTCATGATCATGATACTGAAGCCTGGAATAACTGCTGCTGGAAATTTAGCTTTGCCATCACAGTAAGCAAAAATGTATTTTCCCTCCCAATTTCATGACTAAATTAAAATAAATTTATCATTTTCATTAATAAAAGTATTATTGTTGCTGCATTTAGCTTTATTTAATATTATTTGACATGGAAGTTGTTCATTAATCAACAGAGTCCCCAATTTTCATCCTTTGTCCCTGACCAGTTCTTGAAAAGGCAATCTAAAATTAGAATAAAATGAATTATCAAAAGTATCACGCATAAAAAATAATGCATTCAGACCAATATCCAAAAAAATACGATACAACCTACCAAACAAACAAAACAATGCCTCTAAAGACGGCTGTTTTGATAATAGTTCATTGCATACAGAATTGTATTGAAATTAGCATTTCGGTTTATTCATAAAAGGGAAACGAAAGACAACCCTGAGACTGAACATCAATTAAATTTTATATGAATGTGCCATTCATTTATTGTTATTTGGCAACCAAAAACAGCCTACAGTTAAATTATAAAAACAACAACAACAACAACAACAACATTACTTTAAAGAAAAAAAAAATATTATTTTCATAAATTTTAATAGATTTTCGAATTTTCTGAAGAAAAATTCACTGTTGTGATGCTAGAGCGCTGTGGGTGGTTGCCAGGGCATAACTATGGGGTTGCTAAGGTATTCTGAGGGATTTTTTACTGGGAAAAATCTCTATGGCTCTGGTCTTACACCGTAATTATTTTAAAATGCCATGCCTAACAACTCCCGTTAACCAGAGTAAAATTACTGTAACACATGACCTCTGGCTCTGATGCTTTATTTTTTCTCTGTTTCATTTGCGATGTGTGAAAGGTCTTTCTTTTCAGCCTGAGCTGTTCCAGGGCATGGCGAGTGTCTCTAAACACTAATAATAAATGTGTTCCCATCAGTGTAAAAGTCCTTGAGTTTGTATATTAGGCATGTATACAGAGAATCAAGCACTTTTATCATGGACACATGCTGATGTTAGTCAAAACCACTTTACAAACCCAAACAAGTTTGATAAATCCTGGATAAATCTCTTAAAATGTGAGCACACACAAACACTCAACCCATGTACCCACCCCAAAACACACACACACACACACACACCTACACCTGCACACACAAACACTCAACCCATGTACCCACCCCAAAACACACACACACACACACACACCTACACCTGCACACACAAACACTCAACCCATGTACCCACCCCAAAACACACACACACACACACACACCTACACCTGCACACACAAACACTCAACCCATGTACCCACCCCAAAACACACACACACACACCCCTGCACTTACATCTGGCCTTGTCTCAGTGACTCACAAATATAAATCACACACTCTTAATGGCTGTAGAGTGTAACATTAGAGCCTGGTCAGGTGGTGTGTGGGTTTTTGTGTGTGTTAGTGTGTGAATTCACCACTTTAACACTACTGGCATGGATCCCATACTTCCAATCTCTACTCAAGACTTCTAAAAAACATTAGCATATTTGGGATTGCCATGATACCTGGAAAAACTACTCAAAGATCCAGTACCTGTTACTCTCCCTGTATACAGTAGATACTGCTCTTCTATAAGGATATTTCACATAATGATGCACTTATGGCATATATCAGTGCAAATCCTGCATTTTTAGTGACTGAAACTTTCAAGGGAAAATGTCCATTATGGGTGAATTCCAACATAACTCAGCATTTTAAATGGATGCAGTATTGTTCACATAATGGAAGTGCATCTCCAAAGTGTGTCTGCTCTAATATAGCAGAAAATTGGGAAGGACAGGCAGACAAACAGAAGGGAGGCCATTAAATGAAATAAGTGGGCTGTCTAATGGTATTTGATCAAAATGTCCTTATTTGTATAATTACTAATTCAATTCCATGCATTTAGTTTTATGGTTAAACACAACACACTGCAGTAAAAAAAAAAAAAAAAATTAAACTTTAACTGATGAAGAAAGTCGAGAAATGCCATGTCAATAAAGAAATAACAAATCTGAGAAAGTTAGGCATTCCATGTTAAATATTGTTGCAGCTTGCAGTAAATTTCCATAAAGAATGTATTTATTTATTTACAGAAAGTGCATATATTTTTATAGATGCAGTGCCAATGACCAGATTCATAAATGCCCTGAAAGTGTTGAACGCTAAAGTTACAATCACAGCTGTCGTCTCTGACTGAGCAAAGGAAAGTCAAATATAATGGAGGACACAAGGCCCTATTTACACACATGTCAAGCTTGCATTCCCCATGTTATCTCTAGTTTGTGTAACTGGAATGCCAGAACATTCTATAGTACCACAGGGATTATTGCTCCTTGCTTAAGTCAAGTGATAAGCGAGAACAATGCGTCTGGTTTAAAAAAAAAAAAGTGTCGACTCTCTATATATATATATATGGGTATATAAACCCCTCAAGAACACTAAATGTTTTCCACTGCATGTTGATATTAAAATAGCATGTAAACTCTAGTTAAATAGTATGTAAACCAGCAGAGGTAGTGACAGCATACGAATGTAATCAACATCACAAAGAGCCTCAGACAACACAATTGACTGCTGATAAGACTGTGTAGTAGGAGCCACAGATCATGTGTTCATCTAAAACTGACAAAGCAGTGGAAACAAAAAATACTATATTAGTTTTGAGTGGTGGTGAGTCCAAAATCACCACCAAAAATTAAAAAACACCAAGAAAATTTTTGAATATTCGCAGGTGTCCATTGTTTCCTGATTATCTGAACACTCCATGAACTATCTCTCATATCAGAAAGAACACTCAACACTCTTTCAGTCTATCTCTGCCCTCCCTCTTTTTATTGACATCCCATTTGATGACTGATGAGAGGGAGAGAGGAAGGGAGGGGAATCTCTTGTAGAGGAATTCTGCAAATTCCTGGAGGCCTCCCAAAGGCCAGCTAATGGCCATACTCATTTTCACACCGACGGTATCAGGGAGAACTGAGAGTAACCATTTAACAAGTTTGTATCGCTCATTCCCATAGCAACCACCAAAGAAACTGAACATTGCACAGAACTATTTGTGCGTGTTTATTTGAACAGCCACATCTGAAAACATTATATACAGTACTGCCATTGGATAACAAGTATTCCTTTACTGCCTTCTCTATTGCCTTCAGCAATCCAGAGCTCAAAGTCAAACTAATTCTGTTATGATCATGTGTTTGCAGTTTAACCATGACTGTAATAAGGATAAATACATTATTCCAGTTAAAAGTGTTACAGTTATGCTAGAAAGTATGACTTCTCTGTCTTTATGGATCAAGTTGACTTATTAGATCTATCTGCAAAAACTTTTTTTCATGTATTAAATCAGTTAATTATTCTTACTTATTTTATTATTTATTTATACAATTATTTTATTTTATTGTATTCAATACCCAGACAGCAAGCAGTGTCGGCTCAGATCCGGCCCACATCTGGCCCGCATGGATTTCACATGGGCCAGATGTGGGCCGGATCTGGGCCAAAACTATGTTGCTGTCTGGGTAACCAACATGATCCAGCCACTGCTCTCTAAGAAGAACAGAGCTTACAAGCCTACTAGCACAATTGTATTTGTATTTATTTTTTCATTTACGCTGGTATCCATGAGAACCAAACATAGCTCTGGTTGAGTTTGTATGACTAAGTACCCGGTGGTTTTCCTGCGCTCTTACGCACAGTGTGTGCTGTGCTCTGGGTCTGTTGCTGTGGGCGCGCCCTGACGTAGCCACGCAGAAAAAGGGCGTAGTACTTCCATAATGAGACTCTTTAAAGCTGCGGCTCCATACAGCACATTAATCTAGTCGCAGGGATCTGGACTTTGGAAATACGCAGTACTGTTGACTCGAGTGGCGCGGCTGCATTTCGGCGTTTTCATCCATTTTTGTGGACTTACTTTCGCTTTGCTCGCAGTAAGTTGGATTTATATTGCAGTACAAACGTACGTTGCCTGTTTATGAGTATTAAAAAGTCTGGAGCGCATCAGAGAGGAGAGTAAATCTTGCCTTCAGGATAAGAGAAGCCACTTTCATGCTTTGGTTCATCCATACAATGATATCTTGGCTAACTTTATAGAGGGACATGCATGTCGTTGCTTAATTATTATAGAGTTTTAAGAATATGTGTTAGGCTGGTTTTGCCCTGGTCAACTTCGTTGTAACACTCATTTGCGCCAAAACTGATGGTGGAAAATGGTGTGCATTATGTCAACTAACTGCGTTCTGAACTGCAATTTTTGGGAGATCAAGAAAGTTTTAATAAAGTTATATTAAAAGACATGTAGCCTACCATGTAACAATCAGCTTTTGACATACTGGTTAAAATATATATTTTTTTATAAAAACGCTTGAACATTATTGAATTATATTATATTATATTATATTATATTCAACTGCAGTGACACAAAATAAGTAGCCTATTATTATTTGTTAATATTTGAATAATTATTGTTTTTTTAATAATAACCTAAATCCATTAGCGAAAATATATTATAACAATATTATAACTAATAATTGGTCTGATATATTTTGTCAAAAAACATGTTTCGGTGTTTGTACAGAACCGTAAGGAAACATCATGCTTCTTCTCTTACTGGGAATCGTCGTTGTGCATGTGGCAGCACTGGTTCTGCTCCTCGTGTCAACTATAGTCAGTGTAAGTACAACTATTCTGAAACTTCATTTATTAAATTAATAAAGATCTGTCTATCTATCTATCTATCTATCTATCTACAGTATCTCTGATATTAAAACAACAAATTATATGATAGCCAACCTTTTTTTGAAATTAACCAAACAAAATGCAATCAATTTGGAGTAGTTCATAAACCCAAACCCCAATCAGGCACTACAACCAGCTGAAGGAGAATACTTTGGATGTGTTTAACTTCTGCTAATGAGTATTCTTGAATCTAACAGGCATGGGCTGTTAACCCCAACAGCAGTTCAGACCTCTGGACAAACTGCACCACATTTAATGGATTTTCCAGATGTGACCCTGCTGACACTGGAGGTAGGATCCTGCTACAATATTTAGATTTGTTTAAGAAGGAATGTGTGATGAAAAAAAAAATGGTGCAATAATATTAATTACAAGAGAGGAAAATGTCTGCCTCTCTGGGTTGAAGAGCCACCCTCGGTATGTTACACATAGCAGGTTATTCACGGAGGGCTCCATCCTGGCATAACTGTCAAAGCCCCTTTGCCTATTTACCACACTTTGTGGTGGGTGTGCCCACTCTGCCTCACACCTCTGAACTGCCATCTAGGGGTGAGAATGCAAGTGTGCCGTTTCAACCCACAACAGACCCCTCTTCAACATCAGCTCTGTATAAATAGTCTGGTTGCCGGTGCTGAGCTCGGGCCCCTTGTTTGGGAGTGGAGAGTGCTGGGTTGCAAAGAGGTTTGAGAACATATGGGGTGGGGCAGAGGTACAGAATTCAAAGCAGATTAGATTTAGACTGATCTGTCTGTAATGGCGTAGCATCAGATCGCCATAGGCCAAACACGGCATGATTTGAATCACACCCACAAATCTAAATGCCAGCAGTGGGTTTGTTAATACAAGAATGAAGGCAGTTTGAGAAACAGTTTTAATTGAATTCATTGTTGAAGTTTTTGGTTAAAATACAAACTTGTGTTGTCATTTTTTAGTTATTGTTGCCATGTAACGTGTACCAGAATATTAAAGTAATAATGAAAAATGGTGTTCTTTAATGCATAAAAAAAAAAAAAGTGTATTTTTAAGTACTGTACATTCTCAATCAGATCACTGTTACACTATTGGCTGTTCTTGGAGGGTGAGATGATGTCATAGTTCAGAGCGGGAAACGCCTCTCTGTGCACTTTGGTAATGAGGCGGGCCCAGAATGCTTTGCTGTGTTATTTCATAGCTCTCAGTCAGTTGGCGTAGCGCATATAATGTGGTGTGTTTGTTTAGGGCGTGGTGCGGGGGTTGGCACATAGGGCTTTTCTGTCCCGCTCTCCTGCGCTCGCTCACGTGTCGCCGCTACACTGCTGGAAAAAGGCTGTTTTTCAGTTACTTCTTAAGTTGATTTTTGACGGTCATCTAGGCTGTGAAGTAAGTCTTTTCATTGGTGCATGTAATGACCAGATTTTTCTTTTAATTATGTTATAGATGACGTTTAACTTCCACACAAACAACAGCAGTTAAAATATGAACCTTCATGTACTCTACTTTAAGGACAGATTAAATTGATAGTGACAGTAAAGACTTTTACAGTACATTGTTACAACAGACTTATATTTCAAATAAATGCTGTTTTTTATGTTATGTTCATCATAAAATCCTGAAAATACTGTATTGTACACAGTTTCCACCAAAATATTAAGCAATACAACTGCTTTTAACATTGATAATAATAGAAATTCAAAATGCAGAAATGTTTTTTAGCACCAAAAATCAGCTTCCTGGATGATTTCTGAAGGATCATGTGACTGCTGAAATTGTCATGTGACTGCTGCGAATTGCTGCTGAAAATTCAGCTTTGCTATCACAGGAATAAATTACATTTAAAAAAAAATATTAAAACAGATATGTTAAATTGTAATAATATTTCACGAAACAATCTTACTAACCCAAATTTGTTCACTATAGACAATGTCAGTCACGATGTTTACAGTAAGAACCTTGGATTCACAAATGTTTTAGATATTTATCAGTAAGGTTGTACATGCCATCATTACGTAACAGAATAGTCAGCATGAACAATATTTTTACAGTCTTTATTAATCTTATGGTAAAGTTGTATATTGCATTAGAGAAGAAAAAAAACATGAACTAATCACAGTATTTTTATAAATTTATATTAAATGCCTTAAAAAACTTAACCCTTATAGCATAATGCATTTCTCAATAAATGGCCATCTGACAGCAGCTTGCATTGTTCACATCTCTAGTAAGGCAAACATACTGTGCTTCAGCATTAATAGTATAATTCGAAACAATTTAGGGGCAAATCAAGAGGGTTAAATCAAACCTGGGTTGGAAACAAGCAATCAAACCAAGTGCAAAGCCATCCTAAGATTACCTGAATGGTGTATTTTACACCGGGAGAGATGCGGAACAGCTGGCATGGCGAAGCTACTCAACACTGGCAGCTAAAGCATGCTTGAAATCCTATTCATCATCCTGATATAGAGCCATTTCATGGACCAAACTGGGGTTATGGCGGTCTAGTATTAGCGCACAAACTCGCACCCCTGTGTTATGTTTCGCCAGTGCATATTTATCATCTGTTAAGCCACATTCTTCACACCCAGGACCATGCGTGCCGCTTTCCAAAACGAAACCTTCTGTCCTGAAATACAAGTCCCTGCCTTAGATGCATGACTGCTGACAGAAATACATAGGGTGTTGTCAAGCTCAAAATGAGTACAGCCACACCTTATATCAGGAAACTCCAAATGTCACAAGTCTGAAGGAAGGAAAAGTCTGTTTACCTCATGTGAGAGTAGATATACTGAGGATAAACTTAGTGACAGTGAGTAAGTATACTGTATTAGAAGGTCACGCTTTTATTTTTACTTCATTGTTGAGAGAGCTTTATTGTATCATTTGTATTGTGTGGGTGCAAAACACACAGCAGCAGAACCTAGTATTTATGGATGCACACTAGAATAGTCTCCTCACATGGTCTCTGATGAGATGTTCTGAGAAAAACAAACGCCATTTCCATAGTTGTTTCCATTCTGAGATAGTTGCAAGCACAAAAAAAAACGTTTATGGGGTTTTCTTGTCCTTTTATGGTTATCCATGTGTGCCTGAGCTTTACGGTTTTGCTGTTAATGAGATCATTGCTAGAACTTTGGATCATTCGCATTGCCAGTTCTTCCCCACAAAAGTGCAAAGAAGCCGATTTTTGTATGATCTTGAGAAGTCCAGATTTTCAAGGACTTGATCAAGTGTTGCTATATTCCTTTTCTGGATGTAAGCAATGCAATATTGATGGTCTTATTTTGCAATAGGCTTTAGTAGAGGATCTGGTTCTTCTGGAGGCTGGAGTAGCGGCTCTGATTTTGTTTTAATCTGTAGTAGGCCGATCTGCTTTAGGGATGTAACAGTTCTAGTGGCTATAAGGGGAGAGGCAGACACAGCTGAACATGAGAGGAAAGAGAGAGAGAGGTGGAAACCTGATGCTACAGGAATGACCCTTGGATAAGAAATAGACATGCTGGACAACCCATGTATTCCACTTATTACTGCTTGGGCACGAAAGGTAGAAAATGAGATAGAAAGAGAGCTATGACATGGTCTCATACTGTGTGATTTAGAAGAACAGCAAAATGCTCACCAAATCCTGTCATTATTTAATTTTCAGAACTATTTTTTTTCAGCTGTTGAACGATAAAAACATTGACAGTCAATCAGAATCCATTCTGCTTTAAAGAGCACAAGCATTTAAATGGGCAGACGACATAACTGCAGCACACGTTTATAGTAAACAACTTTATTGTGTGTTAGTGTGGCCTGTATTCAATGTCATCAATTCTTTATGAGGAAACAAAATATATTTTTGAAAATATTCTGGTTTCATATCCATACACTCTTGCTATGGGAAAGTCATTATGGGTTCCCAAAAGAACCTTTTAGTAAACAGTTTTAAAAGAACTAAGTGTTCCTTAGTGTGAAGAATGTTTTATTAATCTAAAGAACCTTTTCCCACTATTAAGACCCTTTTGTGCAATGGAAGGTTCCATGGATTTTAAAGGGTCTTCATGGAGCTGTAGATGCCAATAAATAACCGTTATTTTTAAGAGTGTACCCCAAAGTTTTGAACCCCATTGAGGGCAAAAACAGTTGAAACATTCTTCATTTTCAGACAAAAGTCATATAGGTTTTTAACAGTTCTTAAACAGAATTTGCATTTTAGGTGAAGTATCCCTTTAAAACTCTATTGAGGATAACAATGGTAAAACAGAAACACTGAACAATTTGTACACAATGGGACATTCCAAAGCCAGAATACACGCTAAACATTAAACTAAAACATCTGTCATGGCATTCCTCATCAATCCCAAACTCCCTCAAACCTCACAGCACGCTATTGACTTTCTTGGTGGAAGAACTTATTGTCCAAAGCTTTTGTCTTGAGAATCAATCTACACTAACCTTCAAAAGTTTTTTTTTTTTAAAGAAATTAATATTTTGATTCAATTAAATATATACAAAAGACTTTTTTATTTCAAATGAATGCTGTTCTTGTGAGCTTTCAGTTTTATAAGTTATTGTAAATTCTAATAATATTTCAAAATATTACTGTTTTTACTGTATTTTTAATCAAAGAAGTGCAGCCTGGTGAGAATAAGAGACTTAAGAAGAAGATTTAAAGAATAAGAAGCATAAGAAGTTTTTTAAAATCTTAAAATCCTCAAACTTGATCGGCAGTGTATGTGCAAAGCAAGTGAAATGTTTCCTGCTATGCAGGAAAATACTAATGCAAACATCTTCTTTCCTGTCCACACATGTGAAAGGGTGGAATGGCTCTAATGCAGGATAAAAATGACACACGGGGGGCTTTTAAAGCCATTAAATGCAGGTAATATAGAGTTAATGGTGCTCCTTGTAAGTTGCTGTGTTATGGCCCTGGGACGTCAAGAGAGGATCAATATCAGATGCTGTAACCTGCTAAGAGCTTTTAGGAACAGAAACCTCATTATGTGATTGCACAATACATTAAGAGTTCCTGGATTCTCCAGTGCTCTTTATATTGATGAAACAGCCATCAAAACTTTAAATGCAACAACAAGAGTTCATTATGAACTGATATTTGGTGTTTTGGTTTTTTTGCAGACTCACCTCTGTCATTATCAATAATACATAGATATCTAAGTGCACATCTCCAATTGCATGCCAATGTAAAAGTGCAACTACCGGTACATCTGTTGTGATCGATCGAGAATAGGCCCTAGCAGATGAGAAAAGAAATAATGACCGGTTTAATTTTCATTCGTGTGCATTTAAAATGACTGTCTCATTCCAAAGAGCAAAGTTTTTTTTTTCTTTTTCTGCAAAGCTCAAACTGCCTTAAGTGGTTTCAGGAGTGCGGAAATGCTCTAATGTTTTGAAATGCTTTCTGTCTTTCAGTTTGGATCCAGGCAGTCCAAGCCCTCATGATCCTGTCAATCATCTTCAGCTTTCTGTCTCTCTTCCTGTTCTTCTGCCAGCTCTTTACTCTTCAGAAGGGTGGACGTTTTTTCCTCACTGGAGCATTCCAGATCTTTGCTAGTAAGTATCTTGACGTCATTTGGACATCAATGGATCAGTACGGTTGTTTGCATATGCTAATGAGGTTGACATAACATGCTGACATGCTCATGCAGTGTTAATAGACCCAAAGTGTTCACTGTTGAAGCGAAGGAGAGCCATAAATTGCTATATTTGCATATGCGTTTAAGCTAGCTGGCTCAGGTGATCTGAGATCAATTACCATTTATTAATAAAAGATTATCTATGGGGCATCTACTGATCTCCTCTGTTCCTATGGAGGTGTATTTGCTTTAATTCGGTTAGATGAAAAGAACTTTGGCCTTAGTCTTGTTAGTCTTACGAGTCCTGTCAACTCTCATTAAACCACAGACGGCACAGGAAACCCTTTAATGCACTCACTTCCTGCAGATAATTTGGATATGATTTCTTAAGATTAAACCATGTGGCACGCAGAGTTTTAAATAGGCAAGGTTACCAAAACGAGTAAGCGTTTCTCTTCATTTATGATAAACAATCCGTGTAAGAGATCAGATATGGAAAGATGCATTTCACAGTCATTTACTGTACTGTAACTGAAGCTAATGTGAAATGATAGCTCTCATTAGGAATGTTTAATTAAATTTTCGGCTCTTTGGGATGTAATGAAGATGGAGTATTATTAGAGATCATTACCGTGCCTGGATAATGAATAATTCTGTGGGTGCCACGAATGCTTGATCTTTCAGTACGTACTGAGGGCTTTTAGAGTTCATATCTGCGACTCGCATCAGAGAGGATGGACATTAATTGAAAGCTAAATGTCAGAGGAGAGCAGAGGGTGGAAACAGCACAAAGCCAGACAGTTACAGGTGCCCACTGAGTTGGCACCGGATACACAGCCGCTGCCACAAGATGAAATGTCAAGACTGGCACTCTGGGGGTTGTCTGTGGTCTGCCTGACATAAAAGTGCTGAAAGTGCCATGTCATATTTCCTCCCTCTCATGCATACCTTCTAGTCAATACTAGGCCAAAAACAGCATTTCTTAGGTAAATGTTACTTAGTAAATATTAGTAACAGTTAAAATTACATATTAACTGTTGTAAACAAGTAAGCAAAGACATCATTCTCAATTACAGCACACATTGTTGGATATTAAATTAATATCCTGACCACAAAAGAGTTCCCAAAACCTCAAAAACAATGTTTATAATGGTAAAAATAATATTAATAGACTGTATAGTTATTAATAAAAAGTAAGCTCCGTTCCCACGGCTCTCGGCCCCGCCCCTCTCGTCACAGTAACTAATACAAAATTGTGCACATTTTTTAAAGGTCTATTATTTATTTAACATCACCAAATTATATGCATATTAGAATGTTTTCTAAAGGATCATGTGACACTGAAGACTGGAGTAATGGCTGCTGAAAATTCAGCTTTGTATCACAGGAATAAATTACATTTTAAAATATATGAAAATAAAAAACAGTTATTTTAAATTGTAATAATATTTCACAATATTACAGTTGTTACTACTATTTTTGATCAAATAAATGAAGCCTTGGTGAGCATAAGATTCATAAGACTACAAACGTTTAAAAGTCTTATAAAACAGCATAAATAAAAGTGAGTGGGAATCATGTACGGATAGATAGATAGACAGACAGACAGACAGACAGACAGACAGACAGACAGACAGATAGATAGATAGATAGAA